CCAGCGCGTAGTCTCCCTATGCGCTGCCACAACCTCCTTCCGGGTTGTGTCATCCTGTAGCACATGGAGCAACATAGTAGGAGGAATGGGCCCTGATAGAGCTAGGAGGCAGGCATAGGAAGCTAATAGGAGGTGGCTAAGGGGGTTAATAGAGGTGGGCTTAAGGGGCGTGTGTGTGTGTATATATATATATATACAGGGAGTGCAGAATTATTAGGCAAGTTGTATTTTTGAGGATTCATTTTATTATTTTTTTTTATTTAATTCCAGTTTTATTGGTTTTGTCATCAATAGGGGGTACAGAAAGGAAAAGAGGAGATGGGGAACAGTAGGTTGAGGACAATACACTAAGCATGGTACATCAAAGTGCATGGTTTGTTGTTACATATAGAGAGCAACTTGTTATGAAGTTAGCGAATGATACATTGCCCTTTGATGTGTCGTGTAACTTTTTGCTGAGGTCCAATCGTCCCCTGCTCTCTCTGGATCTACCATGATCGTGCCTCTCGGCCTCTACTTATCGCCGTAGGCGAGCGGTGTGCTCCTGAGACCCCTCTGGGGTTTTCAGGGATTCTGGGGTTCCCTATGGCCTGTGCCTAGGTTCCCTCTCCTCAACCTATAGATCTCGGGGTTGGGTGCTGTAACTGGGTGGTGGCGAGGGGGGAGGGGAAGGGTCAGATCTCGCCTGCTCCCCGTCCCGAGGTGGCTGGGAAAAGTAACGGGGTGAGAGGGAGGATGGTTCCATTGAGTATTGTGGTGGATCATCATTGTGCGCTGTGAGTAGTGTCTTTTATGTTTGCCCAGTGCTGTAACCAAGGTTCCCATGTGCTGGTGTATTTGTCATGTCGGCCTAAGGGGGACCAGTATAAGTTCTCCATTTCTCTCGTGGCTTCCACCCTATCTATCCATTGAGTCACCGTGGGGGTTTCTGTTTTCCTCCAGTGTAAGGGGATAAGGTTATTTGCTTCCCCTAGTAGCAACCACAGTAGTTGCTGTGTTTTTGGATTTTGGAAGGTCTGTGGCCAGCCCAATAGGATTTGTGATGGCGTCAGTGAGTGTGGGAGCGGTAGGATGGTCTTTATGGTTGCTAGTACCTCCATCCAGTAGTGTCTAATGCGTGTACAGTCCCACCATATGTGTTCTATTGTCCCCACCTCACTGTCGCATCTCCAGCAATTATCGCTAAGTGTTGGCCAGAAGTGGTGTAAAAGGTCTGGGGTTCTGTACCATCTTGTGATGCGTTTGTAAAAGGCTTCACGTCTTGAGAGGCTAATGGAGGCTGTCATAGGTCTTGTTAGAATGTACTGCCAATCGGCGGGAGTCATGTGAATGTGCAACCCTTTCATCCACCGCTGATGGAAGGAGGGAGTCTCTTGGACTCCTTGGGGGGAGACCAGTAATTTATATATTAGGGAGAGTGTGCGTTTGCGCATTGTTTTGGCGGTGCATAGTTGCTCGAATTGGGTGGGCTCTCTCGAGGTCCAGTTTGGTAATACTGTGCTTTGCAGGATGTGGCGTATGTGCCCGTATCTTAGCGTTTCAGTGAGTGAGCCCTGGCCCCCCCACTCCCGTAGAGGTTTGACATTGGGGGGGGTGTCATTTGTTATCATGTCTCCTATACGTGGGTCAGTTGTCCCCAGTATTTTCCTCAGTGTTGGAGCTCCCCTTCCCCCCAGGATATCAGGATTGTATGCTAGTGGGTAAAGTGGGGAAATACCTGGAGATAGTCCCCATGTGGTTTTATGGAGTCTCCATTTCGTTAAGATGTGGTGGAGCAGTGGATGCGCTGTGATGGTTAATTTTTGCAGGTGGCATGTTTGCCAGGGTAGTGTGGACAGGGGAACTGTGGAGAAACTTTGCTCCAGGTCGTACCACGCTTTTTTGTGTTGAGTGTCCGTCCACTCTTTCACTCTAGTGAGGAGGGTCGCTATGTAGTATTTATATATATGGGGTAGACCTATCCCCCCTTCCTTCTTATTCCTTGTGAGTGTGTCGTACGCTATCCTTGCTTTTTTATGTCCCCATATATAGGATATAAAGGCTGATTTCATTGTACGGAAGAAGGTATTATCTAGGTCCAGTGGCAGAGTTTGAAAAAGATAGAGGATCTTCGGTAGGATCATCATCTTGATGATGTTGATTCTCCCAAAAAGGGAGAAGTGGGGCTTGTCCCATTGCTTTAGTTTGGATGTAATGTCCTGTAACAGGGGGATGTAATTCATTTTATATAGGCCCTTCACCGTGGGCGTCAGGATGACTCCCAGATAGGAGAGGCCCGATTCTGTCCATTTATAGCTGTATGCGTCACTGATTTGTGTCTTGCGTGTCGCATTCAGCCCTAAGCCCATTATTTCGCATTTGTCTGCATTAATTTTGAAGTTAGAGCAAGCACTAAATTGGTCTATCTCTTTCTGCACATGTGTGAGGGACTGTTCCGGGTTGGTTATGGTGAGAAGTACATCATCTGTGAAGGCAGATACTTTGATCTCCGTCCCACCCGCTCTAAAACCTGTAATGTTGTCATTGGTTCTGATGGCATTGAGAAAGGGCTCCATAACCAAGACAAAGATTAGGGGTGACAGTGGGCATCCCTGCCTAGTGCCGTTGCCAATGTGAAATGGAGGGGAATCATGACCATTAACCCTGACTGAGGCTGAGGGACCTCTATACAACATTTGCACCCAGTGTCTGTAATTTGGACCCACTCCCAATGCCTCCAGTGCGGCGAACAGGAACCCCCAGTCCACCCAGTCAAAGGCTTTTTCAGCGTCAACTGACAGGAGTAGCGTGGGGGTCCTGGAGGACAATGCGCCGTGCATAACGTTGAGGAGACGGGTCGTGTTGTCCCGTGCCTCTCTCCCTGGGATAAAGCCCGCCTGATCCGCATGAATTAGGTCCGGAAGGAGTGGTTTAACCCTGTTAGCCAGTAGCCTTTAGACCTAGATTTATTAAGGATATTGGCCTATAGCTGCCACAAAGGCTCGGGTCTTTACCCGGTTTTGGGAGAACAGTGATCGAGGCCTTTAGCATGGGTGGTGGTAGAGCATCTTTGGTCAACAGAGTATTGAGAACATCTAGGTACTGTGGACTCAATATGTGTTGGAAGGTCTGATAGTATCTAGCCGTAAGGCCGTCTGGGCCTGGGCTTTTGCCTTTGGGGAGGGTCTTTATGGCTATTCGGAGTTCCTCAGGTTGGATGGGTAGTTCTAATTGGGCTGTTTGTTGTGCGTCTAGTTTTTTATGAGTGTGAGCTGAGACGTACGCTGCTATGTTATGTTGTGTGTTCAGTGGTTGTCCCAAGTTGTAGAGGTCGCTGTAGTAGTTTTGGAAGGTTTTGGCTATGTCCTCTGTCGTGTCTTGGCGTATCCCGCTTTTCATGATTATGTGCGAGATGTATGTTTTTTGGTGTTTGTCCTTCAGAGCCCTAGCTAGATATTTCCCACTTTTATTGCCGTGTGCATAATATGTCCCCTTAGTCAGCTGGGCTGCCCTATGGGCTTTCGCTGCAAGGAGGTTTCGCAGTTCTATTTGTAATGCTGTTAGTGTTTTATATGCGTCAGTTGTGGGGGTATCCTTGTGGTTAGATTCTGCTATGTGTATGGCTTTAGTTAGGGATTGGATTTGTGCTGTTCATTCCCGTTTTATACGAGCTCCCCACTTGATCAGGATCCCTCGTGTTATACCTTTGTGTGCCTCCCATACCCATGGTTCCGCAGTGCCTTTACCCGCATTTTCGTGGAAATACCTGGGCAGTTCGTTGGTCAGGTCTTCAGTTACCCTGGGGTCATCTAACAGTGATTCGTTTAGGCGCCACGAGTTGCTCGCGGCACTCTTCTCATCCAGAGACAATGTAAGGAATATTGGGGCATGGTCCGACCATGTGATCGGTCCTAGGGACGCGGAGGCCAGTGTTTGCAGGTGTTTGTGTCCTATCATGAACATATTCAATCTAGAGTAGCTGTGGGCCACCTGGGAAAAGTATGTATAATCCCTCTCCTGGGGGTGGATGATCCTCCAGCAATCAACTAGTTGGTTAGCATGTAGCGTTTTTTGAAGCAGCAGGCGTTGGTGTGCTAATGTGTCTTTACCTGTCGCAGTACTGTCTATAGCGTGATCTAGGACTATGTTCCAATCGCCCCCTAGCACCACTAGCCCCTCTGCAAAATTCTCTAGTTTTCTGAGGCACGCTTTGATGAATGGGACCTGTCTATTGTTGGGCGCATAAACATTCACTAAAGTAATGAGGGTATTGTTGATCATCCCTTTGAGAAAAAGATACCTGCCCTGTGGGTCTAATTTGCTATCTCGTAGCGTGAAAGCTCTTCTGGTTGATAAAAGGATAGCGACCCCTCTAGATTTGCCTCCGTGGTAATTGCTAAAGTACGCTTGTCCCATGGATTTGGTTTTCAATGAGGGGGTCCGATCTCCTCTAAAGTGGGTCTCTTGGAGAAATACTATATCCATCTGCTGTCTGTCTAGTTCCTGCGCTAGGATTGTGCGTTTTTCGGGCGTGTTTAGTCCCCTTACATTCAGGGACATGAGTTTGAGGTTATCCATCATATAGCAGCCAAGAGTGAGGGCTTCTCAGGCTTAGATGGTGTGATGACCTGTACTCAATGGAGGGGAGGGGTTGAGGGTAAAAACGTAAACTGTGGAAACTATATACAGTGTATATGCAGCGTGCCTGCTGCGTCCAGATGGTGTCAAGCCCGCTGTGGATCATATGGATCCAGCGTGCTCTTTGCGGCACCTCTTGGGGGGTGTGTGGTCTAGACCCGTTGAGACCCGGGGCCAGCTGTGCGTGTGAAATACTTAATTCGCATAACGTTAGCGATCTTGCGGTAGCTTGTGTTGATAACGCTTACATCTTATCATAACATAACTGTTGATCGAATCCCAGATCCAGCGTGTCTGGGGCCCGGGCGCCATCTGGACCCTTGGCATTGGGTTACACAGTAAACAGTAGACATATAGAAACATGTACATTTGTAAACATGGCATTAACTAGGTGTTGATTGAGGCAGACGCCTCTGTGTCTTAGGCATTTTTAGCAGAGTAAAAGGATATAGCAAGTCTATTAGGTCGGTCTCGTGGCATTTCCTTTTGGTGTCGTGGGCAGTTCGTTTCCTGAGGGAACCCGCCTCCCTCGTTTCCTGGGGCTGCGCTGCCATTTGGCCTTCTAGGACAATTGCCTGTCCTGTTCCATGTATAGGCCAGTCCAGTCTTCCACCACATCGGTAGGTATGCCCAGAGCTTGTTGGAACGTCAAGACATCCGCCGGAGTTGATATCGAGTGCGTCTTCCCTTGGGCGGTTCACCACTAGGGAAAAAGGGTATGCCCAGTGGAAACGTATGTTGCGGTCCGAGAGTGCTTTTGTTATCGGGCGCAGCGCTCTTCTTGCTATCAGCGTGGATTGCGCCAAATCCTGGAATATCTGCACTTTGCGGTCAGAGAAAGTAATATCTCTGATTTGCTTGGCCTTTTGAAGAATCATCTCTTTAATGGGAAAATGGTGAATTCTGCAAATGATGTCCCTTGGTGTCTCATTCGCCAGTACTTTCGGCCGGATTGCTCTGTGAGCGCGGTCCAGCTTAATGGGGGTGTCCACCGGTCTGCCCAGGTGCTGATTAAAGAGATTTGTGAGGGTTTGTGTTATGTTTTCATTTGTCCCCTCAGGGGCTTCAGGGATGCCTCTTATTCTAAGGTTATTGCGCCTTCCCCTATTGTCCAGGTCCTCTATTTTCCTTTGCAGGAATATTAAGGCTTCATTCTGGGTTTGCTGGAGGGTTTGCATATTATGTATTTGCAGGGCTATAGTTTCTCCCCCCTCCTCCAATAGTTGTACTCTATTGCCAATGTGGCTTACCTCCTCATGTAAAGATTGCAGCTTGTCCCCAAAACTTCTTTCCATTTTGGAAAACATGGCTTCTAGGTCCAATTTAGAGGGCAGCTGGGTCAGGATAGATTTGATATCTGTCCCCTCTGTGGAGCTTTCTGAAGGAGCAGGGCTGGCTGGAGCGCTGCTCGCGGGTGATTTCTCTGCCGCGGCCATTTTGGACCGCATGTCCGTCTCCTGTTTCTCCGTGAAGAATCTCCTCAGGGACGTTTTGGAGGGTAAGGGGTGAGAGGAGGGGGTGCTGCTTACTTGTGCCTTCGTTCTTTTGGTCGCCATGACTGTGTGGGTGCCGGGACTCTACGTTTTCAGGCCAGTCTCGAGCGGAGCTCGGCGTTCATGCGGCCATTCACTCCCGCGTCCAAGCCACGCCTCTGATTAATTTTATTATTGAACAACAACCATGTTCTCAATGAACCCCAAAAACTCATTAATATCAAAGCTGAATATTTTTGGAAGTAGTTTTTAGTTTGTTTTTAGTTATAGCTATGTTAGGGGGATATCTGTGTGTGCAGGTGACTATTACTGTGCATAATTATTAGGCAACTTAACAAAAAACAAATATATACCCATTTCAATTATTTATTATTACCAGTGAAACCAATATAACATCTCAACATTCACAAATATACATTTCTGACATTCAAAAACAAAACAAAAACAAATCAGTGACCAATATAGCCACCTTTCTTTGCAAGGACACTCAAAAGCCTGCCATCCATGGATTCTGTCAGTGTTTTGATCTGTTCACCATCAACATTGCGTGCAGCAGCAACCACAGCCTCCCAGACACTGTTCAGAGAGGTGTACTGTTTTCCCTCCTTGTAAATCTCACATTTGATGATGGACCACAGGTTCTCAATGGGGTTCAGATCAGGTGAACAAGGAGGCCATGTCATTAGATTTTCTTCTTTTATACCCTTTCTTGCCAGCCACGCTGTGGAGTACTTGGACGCGTGTGATGGAGCATTGTCCTGCATGAAAATCATGTTTTTCTTGAAGGATGCAGACTTCTTCCTGTACCACTGCTTGAAGAAGGTGTCTTCCAGGAACTGGCAGTAGGACTGGGAGTTGAGCTTGACTCCATCCTCAACCCGAAAAGGCCCCACAAGCTCATCTTTGATGATACCAGCCCAAACCAGTACTCCACCTCCACCTTGCTGGCGTCTGAGTCGGACTGGAGCTCTCTGCCCTTTACCAATCCAGCCACGGGCCCATCCATCTGGCCCATCAAGACTCACTCTCATTTCATCAGTCCATAAAACCTTAGAAAAATCAGTCTTGAGATATTTCTTGGCCCAGTCTTGACGTTTCAGCTTGTGTGTCTTGTTCAGTGGTGGTCGTCTTTCAGCCTTTCTTACCTTGGCCATGTCTCTGAGTATTGCACACCTTGTGCTTTTGGGCACTCCAGTGATGTTGCAGCTCTGAAATATGGCCAAACTGGTGGCAAGTGGCATCGTGGCAGCTGCACGCTTGACTTTTCTCAGTTCATGGGCAGTTATTTTGCGCCTTGGTTTTTCCACACGCTTCTTGCGACCCTGTTGACTATTTTGAATGAAACGCTTGATTGTTCGATGATCACGCTTCAGAAGCTTTGCAATTTTAAGAGTGCTGCATCCCTCTGCAAGATATCTCACTATTTTTGACTTTTCTGAGCCTGTCAAGTCCTTCTTTTGACCCATTTTGCCAAAGGAAAGGAAGTTGCCTAATAATTATGCACACCTGATATAGGGTGTTGATGTCATTAGACCACACCCCTTCTCATTACAGAGATGCACATCACCTAATATGCTTAATTGGTAGTAGGCTTTCGAGCCTATACAGCTTGGAGTAAGACAACATGCATAAAGAGGATGATGTGGTCAAAATACTAATTTGCCTAATAATTCTGCACTCCCTGTATATATATATATTACTGTCCATTTTAGACAGTGGCCCTTTTAATCTCCCTTACCTGTAGTTGTAGGGTCGGTGTCTTCCGGCGTCGGATGGATCCAGGAGCGGCTCAGGATGTCGGGGACGTCAGTGGGACCTGTATAAGCGCCGGGAGGACATCCTTCGCAGAGGACCAGGGCCAGGCCACCGGACCTCCTAAGCCCAAGTGCCATGCTGGTGAGGCGGAGTAGAAGGAGCCCTGGAGCAGTGGACGCCGATCGTGGCAATGAGGCTGGAGGCAGAGCGCCAGGGTAAGCCACAGACTCCCATCATCCCAGTGGTAGCAATGAGGGTTTGGTCAGTGCTGTTGCGGTCCTTCCAGGGGCCAGGAAAAACATGCAGCGTCAGGCTGGCCAGGCAGATTGCAGGGCAATAGTGGGTGGCCCTAGGTGGAAGTACCACGGGGGTCGCTCTCAGGTGGCACGATCACCCACGCCTAAGCAGGGCGGCCAGCTGGTATGCACGTCTGATGGTAGCATGTCAGACGGTGAGAATGAGCAGTGCAAGGGCGGTCCCTTGTAGGACAGCGCAGTGGAGGAGGGCGCACAGGGGAACGGCGTCACAGGGGAACAGTTGGTCTCTTCTACCAGGGTTCACAGTGCCTCCAGGTCAGCTAGCAGGAGCCCCAGCAATAGGAGTACTCCTTGCGGCCGTTTCGGTCTGGACAAAGGACGCAGAGCTAGTAAAGGTGGCAATCAGGAGCGATCGAGGATAGGAAAGGGAGGGATATCTGTGGATGGTTTACCCAGATGTTTCTTATTTCAGTGCTCCTGCCTCATCACCTGCGGTGCCTGGAGGACGCCAGGAATAGGAACAAGGATTTCCGCTAGATGCTCCGAACTCTCTGGGAGTTGACGGAAGGACTTCTTCCCTGCAGTCAGTAACGGCTGGGGGCAAGGGCGGTGAGTTACCCTCTACACAAAAAACTAAGGATTTCTTGGATAGCTTGAGATCCTTACTAAACACTTGGAGTGAAGGTCCAGGGGACACGATTTAGGAGAGTTTGGGAACCTCAAGGGGGCGGTTGCACGAAAGGGGAGGGTTTTACGTTATCTGAGGGCTTAGGCAAAACAGATGCTGGAATGGTTTCTGCTGTAGCGTCAGGGGAAGTGGAGGAGCGGAGCTAATTGGCGGTGCTTATACCTGATGCAACGCGACAGAATGTACACGTATCATTCACCGGTCATATTAAACAGGACATTAAGGAAAGGATTTGGCAGGGGAATTTCTAGAGATATTTTCCCTTCTTCTGCTAGAGGAGTACATTGACTTGAAGGAAGAGGACCCGAAGGATGGTAAGAAGGAGAAAGAGAAAAAAGGCAGCGTTATTGGAAGATACCGAAGTCTTTTGGTAATTGGCTGCAGGCCTTTTGTATATTGGCGAGTGAACTGGGGGAAAAATTCCCAGAGCGTTGTTCCCAGTTCTTTTGCTACTTAGATGGTGTGACGAAGTGCCCTTCGCCACTTGGTCCTGGAGAGGCCTACTTGCCAGCCTCCTCCCCTGTGACTATGACTCTTTCATCTATCTGGCTTTAAAGCCCCTAGTCTACCTTCAGACAGACTATTTATGTGGGCTGCTTTATTTATCCTATGTTTTAGTCACCCTGTACCCATGATAGGTGCAGGGTGTTTGTAATGTAATTGTTTATAGTGTGTGTGTGTACTGTGAAATGTATTGCCTGCTCTCTTGTATTGCTGAGGTTTGCTACCAACTAGGTGGGTTTGGCTATGGAGCTTGTCTAGTGCCCTCTGTTGGTAGCAACAGCAATATGCACTACCTGAATTGCAAGACTGGTTCATTTGCATATTCGGGTAGATTTGCATATTGCTAATTCTGCAGGCAGGTGAGATATTTACTGTTAAATATTGTCTCCCCCCACCCCTTTAAAAATGTGCCATTGTGTTGTGATAAGTCACTGTGTGTTGCTTAATATGGTTTGACTGTTTGTGATTTTATTGAGGTTTCACAACAATGTTATTGTGGTGACCCTATTGGCTGGTCCCAAGGGAATAAAGGTTTTGACAGTTCTTCTTGATCCCTCTAAACGTAGCCTTGTCTCGTTATTGGAGGGAGCTGTTATAATCACACTGGGGATTGCTATGCTCTGCATGCTCCCCTGAGCTTGAGTCACTTAGCTCTTTTAAGAGCTTGTTCCTGACACTCGGACTGTCATCTTCTCCTGGGCTTTTTTTTTTCAACAATGCTTATTATGTGGATCTTTGCTTACTCATAGGGTGCTCGGTATCATGTGCTTACTTCGAGAAATTCTGTATCTTCCTGGAATGGGTGGTTAGGGAGGAAACTGGCGGCGGGTCTGTGGTTTACTATCTAGATTGCTTTTTGTTGCGTCGATTCTGGGGCATGCAGTTATGCGTTACGATCGTTGGAATGGGTAACTCACTTGTTTGGGGTTCTGGCGGCTGAAAAGACTGTAGGCCCAACGACTTGTCTCAATTTTGTAGGCCTGGAAATTGATTCGGTGGTGAGGGGAATGTCGTTTACCATCGGATAAGCTGGCTTCGCTTCAGGCGAAAGTGAGTGCGGTTCAGAGTGCACAGAAGGTGTCGCTGCGGGAAGTGCAGTCACTGCTGGGAAGCATTTACTTCACTTGTCGCGTTATTCCAATGGGCAAGGTCTTCAACCGTTTTCTGGCTAGGGCCACATGTGGGATACGTTCCCTTCACCATTATCTTCGGGTTTCTCATTCTATAAAGGAGAGTTTGGGACATGTTTCTCCAAGAATTTAATGGGAAGGTCTTCTTTTGGGGCCCAGCGACGTCCTCAGAGGATCTCGAGTTGTTCACGGATGCGTTTGGCAGCATGGGCTTTGGCGGGTACTTTGCAGGGAGGCGGTGTGCGACACGGTGACTTATTTTTTTTAAATTTTTTAAAATAATTCTTTATTTTTGTTGTGCCATGCGTAAATCACAGAGTAAAAATGGCATTGCATAGTAAAGCATGAGATATAGTGATGTCCCGAACGGTTCGCCGAACGGTTCGCGAACGGTTCGCCACGGTTCGCCACGAACGGTTCGCCGCGGACTCCAGTCAGCAGACACATTCCAGCCAATCAGCAGCAGACCCTCCCTCCCAGACCCTGCCACCTCCTGGACAGCATCCATTTTGAAGCTGCATTCTTAGTGAGCTGTCCAGGAGGTGGGAGGGTCTGGGAGGGAGGGTCTGCTGCTGATTGGCTGGAATGCATCTGCTGACTGGAGTCCGCGGCGAACCGTTCGCGGTGAACCGTGGCGAACCGTTCGGCGAACCATTCGGGACATCACTAATGAGATATTGTCGACAAGTAGGCCCTATGTCTGTCTGAGATACTGCACATTTTTTGTTATTATATAGAGAGATGACAAGGCGTGGTAGATAGTGGTCAAAAGGTAGAACAGAAACTGAGATCTAACACATGCTAACTAGGGCTGTATCATGAGCTAAAAATGAGTAGAGGCTAAACAAATTATTACAAATAGAAGAGTAGGAAACAATAGCAGCCTGGTAAGCCCTGTGAATGTACTGTGGCTGATGTGTTGTTGCCTAATAGAGGGAGGTTGCAATCACAAAGCTTTGCATGCTCAGCATGCTTCGGGTAACCTCTCTTGGGTGGACCGGGATCACCTCCACCGGTCCGAGGGGGGGGGGGGGGGTTGCAGGGCTTACTCATGCTGTGTGTGACTTTGAGACAACTCCGGATCGTAATGTTACCCGCGGTGCCAGCAGGCCTCGATTAGGACTCATGGTACCCCACTGCAATCCCCCTGTTGTGGGGGGCAAGAGGGTATGCGGGACTGGTACCCGCTTCGCTGTAAACATCTGTAGCTCATTCAAATTGCCAAGATTGTGCGGGAGCCCATGAGAGAGTCGACTCTCCGCCATGATGGTTAGACCCCGCCCCCGTGACCGATAATTTTAATGGGGAATCTGGCCTTTCTCGAATTGTTCCCATTGGTGGTTGACTTATCACTATGGGGCAAGGAATTACGGAACAAAAGGGTGGTCTTCTTCACTGATAATATGGCAGTAGTCCATGCCATTAATTATCTGTCGGCATGTCTGATTCCTGTAGTGTGTTTGCTCAGGCGATTTGTGTTGCTATGCATGTCTTTGACGCATGTCTTTGAATATTATTTTCCGGGTACGCCATATGCTGGGTTATCTGAACGTAGTGGCTGGTGTGTTTTCTCATTTACAGTGGGAACGCTTTTGGATGGCGGCCCCGGGGACACGGGAGGATGGGCAGGAATTTCCGGAGGAGAAGTTGGGGCTCGGAACGCCCTGTTTGGAAGGCTAACAAGGAAGTCTTTGGCGCCGGGAATGTGGTCAGCTTACGTCAAAGTATGGCGAGCTGGCGCATACTTGGGGCCAGCATTCTAGGGATAGGCGGTTGAATTCGTTGCTGTGTTTTTTGTTTTATTGGGGGTTTTTTTTACCACTTGTTTGCAGGTCGGGCGTCTCCGTCAGTGGTTAGTGGCACTAGTGTTCCTTTTCAAGTTGAATGAATGGGAAGACCAACAAAACATTTTGTTTTTAGGCAGGCGCTTAAAAGTTTTCGGACAGGCAAGTCTTTGGGGGATTGTAGGCATCTGGTATCATTTGAGGTCCTGGAACGGTTGGTGGGGACCTTACCCACAGATTTCTAGGTGGTGCTTTTCACCTTGGCTTTTGTGTGGTGTTTTTTGGGGGCATTCCAAGTGAGCGATAGGTGCTGGGGGGGAGTCCAGCTGGCGGATGTCGAGCTGTCACGGAATAAGGTACAGGTTCTTTTGCGAAGGTGCCAGACGGACGTGTTCAGAAAGGAGTGTCAGGTCACTTTGTTTTCCTTTCCAGGTTCGGCTCTGTCCTGTTTCATTAACGGTGCATTTCTGGGGGTTCGTTCTAGGGCAGTGGGATCTTTTTTGCTGCATGAAGACAGTTCATCTATCGTGCTTCCTATTTCTTCAGGTTTTTAGATTCGTCTTAGCTAAGTTGGGGTTAGACCCCTTGGAGTTTGGGACACATTCCTTCTAAATTGGGGCAGCAACGTAAGCGTCTCGCCTGGGCTTGGGACAATCTGGTTAAGCGTATAGGGTGATGGGAATCAATACAGTTTCGTTCTTACGTACGTCCTCATCGGCTTGTTTAAAGGGGTTGGGGATGTTTATGTGTGGATTTTGTTTTTCATTTGTTACGTTTCTTGTTCTCGTTACAGGTTGGGTGACATGGTTGCTCGGCCACTACTTCATCTATTGGGTGCATTGGAGAGCTGCATTTTTGAATCATGGAATGCAGCTGGGTTTCTCTCGTGTCGTGGTTTCCCTGTGTTGGATGGATTTTCAGGGTGGAAATTGGGCAAGTGTGAGCAAGGACATTTTTTGGATTGAGGATGGGTCAACCCCCGGACATCATACTGATACATGCCGGTGGGAATGATTTAGGGCTTATTCCCCAGGGGGAGTTAGTGAAGCTAATGAAGAGGGACATGGACTGGATACAGGAAATTAGTTCCTGAAGTGGTTGTGGTGTGGTCCGAGATGATTCCTTGGCTGCATTAGATACATGCTAGGGACCCTGCCGCAGTGGCTCGATGCTGGGGGTAGGTTAATAACACGATGTCGGTTTTCATAACACGGACCGGTGGGGTTGTGGTGAGGCATCGGGATCTGAAAGGTTATGGTGTAAGAATCAGGAAGTAAGATTCCTGGCTGTCAATCCCAGAGGGCATGGAGGTGTGGTATTAAGACTGCAGGCACTAAAATAGCTTCAATAAAATGTTAAATACTAGGAGCAAAAGGCAATCTTCGGTTAACTATC